TGTATCACTCAGAGATGAAACATCATGTAAAATCAAAGGCTGAGGAATCATGCTTATCATAAGACATAATGGCAAAGATTGGGTCAGTGGAAGACTTTAAAACATTCTTCTCGTTCCCTTATCTAAGAAAAATCTATTTTCACTGAGAACATGTGTAGAGAAATGATATTTAATCAATATCAAGGACAGAACTGTTGAAATAGCCAAAAAAGGCACTGTTGTAGCACTTGCAGTCAAACATGATAATAATTTCTATAAAATGATATTCAGAGTCACACATAACCTAAAAATTTCATCGACACTGATGTGAGAGGGCCAATGGAGGCAGAGTCCATCAGAAGATCAAGATTTTTTGTCAATTTTAAAGACAACACCTCGAGTCATAAATAAGTTTACTTAATAAAACCCAAAAGTGATCTCTTTGATATCTTGAGTGTTCTGCCGACACCTGAGCCTTTTTTGCTCCTGCTTAGTTAGGCACAGGTTTACCAAAATGCCTTACTGATGAATTTACTTCGACCCAATTTCAAAGTAGATTATAATTTCACCGACGAACAAGAGACAATACTTAAAGAAACAAATCAGAAGAGGACACAGAAGAACAATACGAACCTGCTGATAAATACAACATAGAACCACGCCAACTTAGAGATCGAACAACGCTGAAAACACCATACCGATATTAAGCAAACTTTGTCGAATTCATCGAGCCAAAAACATATGAAGAAGCATTCGCTGGTCCAGATATAGACAAGTGGCAAGCAGCAACTGACGAAGAGTTAGAATCACACCAGAAAAATGACATTGGGAAAATGTAAACACTCCCAGATTGGGCGCTCTGCAGTAGTATGTAAATGAATCTTTTTTAATGTAAAGACATCGTCAAAGTCAGAAAAACCTTCTTTTAATGCTTAATTGTGTGGAAAAGGTTACTCACAAATACCCGGAGACGACTACGAAGAAATTTTCTCACTCGTTGTTCAGTACGAGTCACTCCGAACACTTCCAACTATCGCTACACAGTACGATTTCGAGATTAAACAATTTGATATAAAAACTGTATTTTTGTCCGATGATATAAATGAGAAAATTTATATGGTTGTTTCAAGGGGTGTGAAAAACGATTGTAACAAAGTATGCAGGCTTGTAAAATTGTTGTATGCCCTCAAGCAATCACCACGTTAATGGAACTGTAAATTTGATTTCTTCTTAAAATGTTATAACTTTGCTCAAAGTGTTTCGAATCCTTGCGTGTATTATGGTTGCAGTAATGGATCACAGGTCTTCAGCTATTTTTGTTGACGATGACTTGGTACTAACTGAAACCAAAGATGTGCTTATAATGGTAATAGACTCACTCGAAGTATCATTTCAAATTACCGAAGGAGGCGCAAATAATTTTATTGGAATGCAAGTCGAGCGCAATCGGGAAAAACATTCAATCTTCATTCATCAAACGAGGTATTCTGAATGTGTGTTGGCTCGATTCTGTATAGACGAAGCGAAAAGTGTAAGCACGCCAAATGGTTCGAATTCAATAACAACAATTACGAAGGCAGAACCTTGCTAACGATAGAATGTGCTACAAAGTATGTGAATGAGATAAATGTATTTGAATCTATGTACGAGTAAGATAAACTTGGGCCTGAATGTATAAATAGTGGGTGTGAATTGTTTTTGATTTATTATGTGTTGAAATGAAACTGTGAATATTTAATTCAGTGTTTCTGTTAATTATTTATCCCTTAAAAACTGTTGTAGATTTAAGTATTGTTAAATATATCCAATGCATACCTAAGTAATTACCCATATTTATATTGTCGGGAACTAGAGCTGGACGGCAATAACATGTGTAGGGGAATTGTTGTTCAGAATGATATCCTTTATAAAGGATATTTGATGAGGAAGACCATTTTCTAAATAATTGTGGCAAAATTTTCTGAGTAATATTTCTGTATATGTATCTTATGATCTTATGATTTTTGTAGTGCAAATAATGTTGTATCACAAACAAAACAATACTGATCCAACTACACTAATATCCTTATTTCGAAAACTAGAAGAAACATTTACAAACCATACATACACGCATTTATACCGACGGATCCAAGATCCCAAACGGTGCTGAATACGCAGTAGTCAGCAAATAATCAACTGTAAAACTCAAGCTCCACCAGAAAGCATCTACTACTTTTTGTAAACTCTACGCAATAAAACATGCCATCGAATTCACAACTTCAGAACTAGATAAAAACTTCGTCATGTTTTGCGACTCTGTAAATGCTATCTCAGTAATCCAAAATCAGTGGAAAAATGACTCCACTATCCAAGAGTGTCAAGCACTCTACACCATTTACTCTTCCCAGGTTGGCATTGCAAGGAACGAGGAGGCAGCTAAAGAAGCAACAATCTACCGACTACAATTAGCTACTATCCCAATCTACCACTTGGAACTATAATTCTAAATCTAAATCTAAAACAAAAAAATAAAGAAACACTGGAACAAAACATGGAATTCACAATTTAATCCACAATTAATAAAAGTTAAAGACGACTTCTTCAAGAAATCCCTCGCACGCTCTCTACCTAGACGAGATCAAACTGTAATATAATATCATATATTATATTATATTATATGATTGATATATGATATTATGTGATATTATATTA